TTAGAGGCTTAAATAGGATTTGGCCTCAGCTTGAAACATGCCTTTGTATACATTAGAAAAAGTTACCCTGCATCAGAGCCTGGCCAAGGAAGAGACTGCTGCAGGTCACTGTAGTTCAAAACAAGACAGCCACTCCTGGAGGCCCTACTTGGAATCCATGATGCTAAGCCAAGAGACCCAAAAGTACCCAACACCTGCATTGACCCAGCCACCTCTCCTCCCCACAGGTACCTGGGAAAGATATTCAGAAGCAATGAGGAAATGGGAAATCAGAGAACCTGCTACGGACTGAGTTGTCCCCCCCAAATTCATATATTGATGCCCTAACCCCCAATGCGATGGTATTTGGAGATAAGGCTGTGGGAGGATTAAATACAATTTATACAAGGTCATTATTTTGGACTGAGTTCCTGTATTATGCCCCAACTTACCAAACCAAAATGAAATTCCTCATGCTAAGTGCCAAATAACCAGACTGAAACTTTAAGGAAGCAGGTTAGCCCCCAAACAGAACAGTTTTTCCTGAAAACAGGAGATTTACAGCAACCAATCAGAAGGGGCCTAGTCAATCTGAGCCAGCATCTTCAGGAAATCCCCTGTGCTTTAACTCTTACAAGGAAAGTAACCTGAAGTAACCTGAGGTTAACTAGTCTGCTTTTTATTATTATTATGTTTCCTTTGTGGACCTAAAAGAAACTAAGGCCAAACATATAAAACATAGGATTTATTGAGCCAATATGATGATTACAACTGGGGAAACGCATAAGTCAGGTGGTCCTTGAGAAATGCACTCCAAAGAGGGCCAGCAGAGCTTAGCATATTATAATCACAACAAGGGAGAAGAATCAAAGGACAGAGACAGGGGAAAGCCTTGACTAATCACTTCATCAGTTTTTCTACTGGTTAACGATGATGTATAGATTTGGGATTGTTTCTAGGTTACATTCGACATGCAGGGATCCAGGGTTAGGGTTACAAGATGCATTTTATATTATTTTATGACTTTCTGGTGCCCTCATGTCTGCGTGTAGTAAAAATGGTCTTATGATAATGCTTTCCAGGACAGGTGAATGTGACAACTGACTTATCCCAGATCTCCCAGGCACTATACTTTAGCTGACCTGGTCAGAGCAGATTTTTTTGTCATCAACTTGTTCCCGCCTTACTAAAAGCAACTGTTCTGTTATGCCTAGTGGAGTGCCTTTTTATAAATCTTTAGATGAGATTCTCCCCAATTCTTCCTGCATTGACCCAGCCACCTCTCCTCCCCACAGGTACCTGAGAAAGATATTCAGAAGCAATGAGGTAATGTGAAATCAGAGAACCTGCTATGGACTGAGTTGCTAATAAAGCCAATTAGATCTTTAGACTAAATTTATTGTAACTTCGTCTTTTGACAGAGGTGATTAGGTTTAGATGAGATCATGAGCATGGGGCCCTCATGATGGGATAGTGTCCTTATAAGAGACATCAGAGAGTTTGTTTCCTCTCTCTCTCTGCCATTTGAGGATACAATAAAAAAGTGGCTGTCTGCAGGACAAGAAGAGAGCCCTCATTAGGGAACCAAATTAGCTGTCACCTTGATCTTGGACATCCCAATCTCCAGAAGCATGAGAAATAAATTCCTGTTGTTTAAGCCACCAAACCTATGGTATTTTGTCATGGCAGTCCAAACTGACTAAGACAGAACCGTACACCCAAAATCCCAATGTAGAGATCTCTGATTAAGGGCCAAAGCACACAGTTTAGACTCTAAATTGGTTTTCTAACTTCTCTTAAGCCCAAATCAAGTTTTGGCATCTTCTCTCCCTTGGCTCTTTTTTGGGGGTGGGGTGGGAAGGGCAGCTGGCTGGCAAGGGGATCCAAACCCTTGGCATTGCTGATATCAGCACCAAGCTCTAACCAAGTGAGCTAACCAGCCAGCCTGCACCTTCTCTCTCTTAAGCCAGCTAGACTCATGGGATAGGAGACCAAAGTAAAAAAACAGCCAAATAAGTTACCTGACATCTGACTTAACAAAACCTGAAAAAGGAGCAGGGAAGGAAGTGGGGTGGAGACCTAAGGAAGATTGACCTATTGCTTAAATCACCAACACTTTATAATAACACAGTTGACAATGGTAGTTCTCAAAGTGCAATTTTAGGGAGTCACTACAGCAAGCAGGCGAAGAAAACAAAATGGAGAACCAATTGTGATGTGGAATAAATCAATATAGTTTTCCAAAATCATAACTGAAAAGGAACAAAAATGTTAACAGGAACTTAAATATTAATACTGCTCTCTAGCCCATAAAATTCAGAGGAGTGGCACTATTCTGGAACACGTCCATTTCTGCAATTACTTAACTGACTAATCCAATAAGGCTAAATTTACTAAACTCCATGCTCACAACTGAGAGTTTTTCTTTCTTTTGATATGCCTTAAAACATTTTAAAGTACTTTAAACTGTCACTCTATATAGAATTATTAGAAAGCTAATGGTAACTGTTACAGTTTTAATAAATAATAAGATTAACCCTGTCTCTTAAAACAAATAGAGATGTAAAACGATTTATTGTTTTTCTAATTATAATATTCACTATGTATTTTACTTGGAAAGGAAGAAAATGTTCAACTGAGGCATGGTTTTCAAACTTCTTTGTAGCCATGAAACCTTTTCAAAAGCTATGTTTTACAGAGACATTCCCTATAAATACAAGTAAAAGCAGATCTGCTCTATGAGTGTGCTGGTAAATGATTAACAGGGAGCTCTCCAAGAGAAATGGATTTGGAGGTTTGCTGCTTTCTATGGTGCAGATGCTCCCACCACAGCCATCACTCAACACAGTGTTGAAAAGAGAAGAGCACAATCCAGTCCCGTGAGCGGCGCACACCTGAAGCCTCTTCACCCCCCTCTCCAGAACTCGTTCCCCTTCAGCATAACGCCCCAAGGGGCGCAGTTTGAAAATTCACAGTAAGATATGGCCGGCCCGTGGCTCACTCAGGAGAGTGCAGTGTTGATAACAGCAAGGCCACAGGTTTGGATCCTATATAGGGATGGCCTGTTAGCTCACTTGGGAGAGCGTGGTGCTCACAACAACAAGCCAAGGGTTAAGATCCCCTTACCGGTCATCTTTAAAAAAAAAAAAAAAAGAAAAGAAATTTGTTTTTAAAATTATAAAAGAACAGCAGACATTATCTTGTTCCCTCCTTTCTTCCTCCCTCTCCTTTTTCTGCTCTCTCTTTCTCTCCCTCTCTCAAATTCTTTCTCATATCTCTCCCTCCCTTTCCTTCACTGTCTTTCTTTAAAAGTTATATAAATCTGGAGAAGTTCAGCCTGGTTGAATGAGGAATTTACACAGAAGCAGGGTGAGTTGCAAGCCTTTATCATCCCCAGCCTCAGAACTGAAGGATAAGAGCCTTTAACATAGGTAAAAAGAAGACCGGAAGCAAATTACCCTCCTGGCAGTTTCTGGCTGAGAAAGCTCGGGAGCTTGAATGGTCTGCTACAGTCACATGACAGAAAAATGCCCAGTTACAGAATGCTACCAGGGAACATGAGAGTCACATATGATAATGGTCCTCAGAAGGATAAAAGGAGGACCTGATTAGGAATCCCAGCTCTTGCCACTTCTTGGTAACACCCATCTTCTCCCTTCTTTTTATGTATTTGCTTTCTTGTTAGCAAGAAAAATCCATTTTTTTTTTCTTGTTTTCATTGCGCTCTCTCTAGCCTTATTATTTTTTTTTAATTGTAGATTATGCTATCAGGGGATAGGAAATAAACATTTCCTCATACATGCTAGGAATCCAAGTGAAATACTTGCAGGTCTCTCCGTGGGCAGATCAAGTTAACCAAACAAAGGAAATGGGAGGGGCCTGCCCTGAAGAGTTGAGTAAAGACAGGAGCCCTGGATGGCTGTCCTTCCAAGACTGGCCTGGCTGAGGGGGCCTGAGGTGGAGCCAGTTCACTTACTTCACGTACATTTATGGAGCCCCTAGTACGTGCCACAAACATTGCTCTGGGAATCATTTCTGCATCCAGCAGCCCCAGTTTGCCCTCAGTTTATTGTTTTTGTTTTTGTAGGGTCAGGTGGTCTATTCTCATTATAGGTAATATTTAAACACCTCATATACGCCCAGCAAAGACTTATCTGAGACTGTGCCCTCTGCCTGGGAAGAGGGGAAGCATGACGGTCCAGGAAGGGAAGGGAGAAGGTGGAATGTGTCCCCTGCATCAGGCTAGCCATATTGAGGACTTGGGAAGAGGGGCTTGTGAAGGTTCAAGACTTTCAGAGAAACCGTAGGAGAGGATCTAGAATGCTCTAATTTAGAGGAGAAAGAATTCAGCAAGGAACAGGGACATGAAAGAACAGATTCCAGTGACCGCCTCCCAGGATATGCTGGTGACATGCCAGTTGGGTGGCAGTGGAAAGAGCAGTGTCAATACTGGAAGGCAAATCTGGGGCATTAGAGCAAAGTCAGGGAAAAGCCTACTTCTCCAGAAACCAGAGGGCTGAAAGAAACAATTCATCCTAAATCTGGGCACAGGATGGGGGAATGACCAGGACAGGCTGGCTCAGGGGAGGATCTAGAAGAGCCACTATACATACTGTGTACCAGGCACTATTCTAAGCATTTTCATGTTTTAGCTCATTTAACCATCAAAAATAACTCTGTGCTATGGGTGTTATTATTGCCCCCTTTTTACAGATGAGGAAACTGAGAAACAGAGTGATTAATTTATTTCTGCACAGCTGGTAAGTAATGTAATCTGGATTCAAACCATGTGGTGTAACCCCCAGAGCTAACGCTCTCAAATCACTGTGCAATGGCATAATCCAAAGAATAGCAGAACCAAACAAAGAAGAAGTTAATGTTTTCCAATGAGTAACATGAGATTGTATTCTTATAACTTACCTCATCCATCAGTAGAATGTGTCCTGAAATTCTTTCATATCATAGGAAAGATATTTGTTCTCATGACAGATTTTGAGCATATTGTGCCACAGACACACACATTCATTTGACAAATATTTATTGATCACCTTTCCTATTTCAGGCATTGGGCTAGATGATAAGAATTCCTGCCCTCATGGAGTTTACAGTCAAGTGTTGGAACTCAGAAGTCATGGATTATTACTAGAGAACATAAGAGGGAGAAAAAAAACCAGGTTTTTAAAAAATGTATTAAAACTTTAACATTTAACATTATCAATTACTTATTATCCATCACATACCAAAAACTTCACATATAATTGCAATGTCCCTATAGTAACCGAGCCTGTTTCAATATGAAGAAACTTAGGCATGGAAAAGTTGAATAAACTAGCCATAATCACAGAGCAAATAAGTAGCACAGATTCAAATCTAGATTTCTCTGATATGAAAGTTCACGCTCCTTTTATGGCTCTACACTGGAATACTGAAGTCTTGTGAAAAGAACAAAAGTGGGTGATAGTTAACTAAATAAAGCTCTGTGCACTTTCTAAATCATAATCACAATTTTACAGTTTAAATACATGAATTTTCAAAGTAAAATCCACATGTGCATTGGGCAGGGTTTGGGAGCAGGGGAATGTTTAAATGATTAAAGGCCTGCTAGTTCTGAAGTAAGTCTTTAAAGTTAATACTTGAATGATCAGTTTAATGATGAAAAATATTTTGCCTTTAAATAGCTCTTTTTTTGAGAGCGTTCACTAGTAAAGGCATAAAGGGCAGTCCTTAGGCATGGTGGGGATCTTTACTTAATTCCTCACCTAGTGTTGGGGAGTGGAATAAAGTCCACGTAGTAAAGCCTTCAGCCTACTTCGCATTTCTGTTAGAAAGCTCCCATCTGGCAACCTGATCTCAAGATTTTCTTTCCTTAGAGGTTGGTGAGAAAGCCTGGGGCAGTTCAAGTCCTGGATCCCTTATTTTGATTTGTCTAGGAGACAAAAAAGGAGAGGAACTTAAGGTATGTATATTTCAAAAGCAAAAAAAGTCAACAGGTTATATAGTGTCATAAATATTTATAGTATTCATCCATTTCAAAGGCTTCTAGTTATTTGACTTCGCTGTTTGGTTAATGCCTACATAGTCATTATTGTAATTATCTCAGAATCATAAAAGGTTTTTTAAAAGAGTGTTAGAATATTAATATGATCTGCTGTTTGAAAAAACATTTCCATTTATGACTCAAAACAGAACACAGGGCCGAGCCCGTGGCGCAGTCGGGAGAGTGCGGCGCTGGGAGCGCGCTCCGCCATGGGTTCGGATCCTATATAGGGATGACCTGTGCGCTCACAGCGCTCACTGGCTGAGCGCGGTGTGGCCGGTCTCAAAAAGGACAAAAAAAAAAAAAAAAACAGAACACAGAAGAATACTACAACACCAATGCTGGACTGCAGAATTTGAGAGAAGGAAGTCAGTGACATCATAAGCCCCACAAAGGCAGAGACCAAGCCTGTTTTACTCATCATTGTACAAGTATGTCCAGCACTTTGCACTAGTGACTAACACACGCTCAATAGCCCATCAATAAATGTTTGTTTATTGAGAATACTTGGAAGGAGAATAAATCAAAGGAAAGGTGAGAATATAGTATGGAAAGTCAATGGGAGGGCATTTCACAAATTTTAGTATGGAACTCTTTATTGTTTTGACCAAATTTATTAAACTTGCTGTAAATAAGGTCTTTGCATAGAATACCAAATATTTTTAAATGATAATGATCAAGACTGTGTAATTACATGTATATTGTCAGGACTCTTGATTGCAAATTATGGAAATCCCACCCAACTCAATTTAAGCAAATAAAATGTTTGCTGCTCACAAAATTGTGTATAAATTCCAGTTCTGAGCTGGCTTCAGCATAGCTATATCCAGATGCTCAAACGGTGTCCTCGGGAATATAGTGCTTCTCTTCCCCCCGACCCCCTTTTCTTATTAGCTTTATTCTCAAGCAGGTTTTCCGCACGTGGTGGGAAATATGACCCCTGGCAGTTCAGAGACTTCTTAGAGGGTCCCTTTTTTTTTTTTTAAAGATGACCGGTAAGGGGATCTCAACCCTTGGCTTGGTGTTGTCAGCACCACGCTCAGCCAGTGAGCAAACCGGCCATCCCTATATAGGATCCGAACCCGTGGCCTTGGTGTTATCAGCACCGCACTCTACCGAGTGAGCCACGGGCCGGCCTGAGGGTCCCTTTTTGATTGTCTATATCACTATCCTAAAATATGGTTGGCTTTGTCCATGGTCACAAACCCATTCTTAGACCAATCTCTATTTCTGGAGGAGTGGGGTACTAACCGTAATCACTCAGAGCAAGGGAGAGGCAGTTCTCAAAATAGAGACTATGGGAGGAACCAAAAGCTAACAGATATCTATGAAGCAATGCTTCAGAACTTAAAACATAATACTAAGTTTTTTTTTTAAAAAATGCAAAATCATGTATTTAAGATAAGTATAAAGAAAGAAAGAGTAAAAGGTGAACGTAAGAAAAAATGAACCAAATGAAATTTCCCTAAATTATTAATAATAATTATGTTTGGGTGGTAAAACTCAATAATTTTTTCTGCTTTTCTCTGTTCATGGTTTTCTTTATTGATCATCTATCATTTTTATTATAAAAATTTAATAATATGTAAAAGAGAAGATATGCCTTGCTTTATATGTATCTGTATAAATGCTTTATTTCACTTTCCAAATTGTGAAAGCAGAGACCAAGTGATGTACAACTTGTACAACCTAATCCACAGTATCTTGCCCTTACCAGATATTCAGGAAATATTTGTTGAAGTAATGTTAAAATTTAGCTCCTTCACCTGCCATCCTGCCTGAAATCCTTGCACTTGTAACTTCTTTGGATTAAGACAATGAAGGCTCCTGATAAAACAAAAATATGTTTTCCAGGAAATGTAATACCCTTAACACTTTAATCTATCAAAAGAGCAAGTAGGAATGGGACAAGGAAAAAATTAATTTTATTGAGGGGGAAAAAGAGGAAGTTGAATGATTTTTAAGGATGAGGAAAGACACATTCTCCTAGTGGGGTACATCACAGTCCGTGGACCTGCAGGGAGAGAGTGGAAGGGAGAGGCTTTCTTCAAACTCTACATTTACCCCTCTCCATTCTGATACACCCTACACGGTGTGGTGGGGAAGGAAGGAAGAACACTCTTAGGGAGATTTTATTAAAGGGAGAATGTCGTGAAGGTATCTATTTGCCAGATTCTGGGCCTGGGTGAAGTACCAGGATAGATAACTAGGGAAAAAGCAAACATTGTATTTAATTGCCTTATAGGATATTAACCAGTTTTGTATCTGTTCACAAATTTATTTCAGCATTCCTGTGTGTATGTATGTGTGTGTGTGTGTATATATATATTTATCAATATAACACCAACATTTATTGATTTTAAAAAGTTCTTCAAGGGGCCGGCCCGTGGCTCACTCGGGAGAGTGTGGTGCTGATAACACCAAGGCCACGGGTTCAGATCCCATATAGGGATGGCTGGTTAGCTCACTGGGTGAGCGTGGTGCTGACAACACCAAGTCACGGGTTAAGATTCCCTTACCGGTCATCTTTAAAATAAATAAATAAATAAATAAATAAAAAGTTCTTCAAGTTCTCCTTTGAATTGGTCTTAATATCTTACTGGTTCCCTCATTAATGAACAAGTTGATGCAATCTTTGACACATCTTCATTTTATAGTTGCATGAAACTTATGTCTTTAACTTTTAAAAAAATTATACATTAGGACAATAGATGTTTCTAGAAAGATTTTTATGGTACATAGGTCAGCCAAGTTCAAACTCAAAGTCTTAGCTTTCCAAAAGATGTCATTACACTTTCAAAATGATGTCAGTTTTGTAATAAATCTAATTTTCCTGGTTCGAGTAAGAAAAATATATCCATCGGATAATTTCCAAGTGCATTTTGGAAAGAAATTGTCAACTGCTTTAAAATCAGATCTTTAGGGCCGGCCCGCGGCTCACTTGGGAGAGTGTGGTGCTTATAACATCAAGGCCACAGGTTTGGATCTCTATATAGGGATGGCTGGTTGGCTCACTTGGGAGAGCGTGGTGCTGACAACACCAAGTCAAGGGTTAAGATCCTCTTACTGGTCATCTTTTAAAAAAAATTTTAAAATAAAAAAATAAAATCAGATCTTTAAATAAAAAGACAGATTAAAAGCAGACAGATCAGGACCGTGTGAAGAGAAAAAAATTAAAGGGTGATAGATGCTAAAGATCTATGATTTTAATACCAATCCTGGACAAAGGTTAACAGTGTAATTAGTTAAATAGATTACTTGTGGGCACTTACAAAAAAAAACATTGATCATTAGCACAGAATTATTATTAAGGCAAGAATTACTGTGGAGTCTATTCCGTACACCCAACTAAACTCAACAGTTGGAACTGAATAAATGTTTGATTGATCTATACCATATAGTAGACCATGTACAAAAATACTCTTTTACCACAATATCATATCATTTCTCCATTAAAAGTTCATCTTCACAAGCAGCCCAGAATCCTGGCTCTTCAAAAAGAGCTAAGGCATCAAGCAGAATCAAATGTAACTTGATCTGTTCTGTGTTTTGCTTCCTGAATATTTTATAATTATATTTTACAGTGACTCAAAATGTCAGTGGAGTAAAGCAGATCTTACATTGGTATTATTTAACACCAAAGATAATGAGTGTTTTAGGACCTACCCAAGGTAAAACCCTAGATAGAGCTTGTCTTTCGTGCCCTTTTTTCTCCCTTTAAGCACCCCTTTCTGTCAAAGATCCTCTTCCTCAGGCTTTTCACTGATGTTCAGGAATTGTCCTTCCCAGGCTTGACATTCCAACTTTATCCCTGATACTGTCATCTATAGGCTTCCACGCTTACCATAACTTTACTGTATTCTGGCTTTTTTGGGATAAGAAGTTTAAGATCTCTGCTCTTTTCTCCTAATTTCCTTTCTTGCTGTACTTAGCCTAACCCCCAAGGGAAAACATCGATGACTGATCTGAGCAGAGACTTTGAATTAGGCCAAGTTTACCACTGAGCAGATTCACTGTGATTGAAGGTCATGTTCCCTCTCTTTCCCATGACACTAGATCAGTTGGGAACCTGATTAGGTTCTCTCTCATTATATTCTTTCATGTGGCCAATCAGAAGATGAGATTTCACATCAAGTTTGAGAACAGAATTGTCCACAACCTCAAAAGAATCTAACCTTCCTTATCTCTGATTGGACCCTTAACCAGCACTCTCAGGAAAGAGACCTAAGGCAAAACAATTGCAAAACAAAACAAAAAAAAGAGCTATTTTACCTTAGGACTGACCACTATAAGTCAGCAGTGAAGTAGCTGTGGAAAACCCAATAAAGACTAAAAAAGGAAATTAATCTGAAAAGTCAAATTTTATGTTTTACCTAATAAGTCAAATTTTCACAAAAATCTTTCCTTGTAAAGAAGGCAGAAAAGGTACCTGGTTAGTGCTGGAAATTTGTCCTGGGAATGGAGTGAACAGGAAGCCACCATGCATAAACAGATATATAAAAATAACCTACAGAAATTTCTTTTTTTAACCTGCAAGATGATGGACTAATGAACTAAAGGGATATAAGCAGAGACAGATATTCCACTACTGGAAGAACTCGGTGAAGGTGCAATGCGAAGGGTAGGGAGAGCTGATTTCTGTTACATGGAGCTCAGCTGAGAATACTACCTGCAGGAATGTACTATTGGTAGTTCCATGAATTTTTTTTATTAGTTTACAACTGCTGTGGAGATAAAAAATAAAATAAAATAAAAGTTAAAACAAAATGAATAAGTAATAAAAACATGGAGTTTTAACTTGGACTTTGCCTGTGTTTACCAATTAGACTTTGGTCAAATTACTCAACCAACAATGAGGAGAGCAATTTCAACTGAGTTGGG